TTGACGTGACGGTCGGAACCGTCGATGGTATTCATTGCGCTGGAACGTCCTTCTCTGCGCAGATTCGAGGTGAAAACTTCCTATTCAAGGACAGTACATGGTTCAGGAAGGCGAACAAATCTTCCTCAAAAGGTCCAACTTGTTGGTGTAGAGGGTCTAGCTGTTGCTGAATTCAGTTGATGAGGTCAACTCGGAAGTTCGCGACCGCCTAGCATTATGCGCCCGTGCGCTACCCGCGTCAGCACGTGAGAGCGTTACACCTGGGCAAGCAAGACCTCCTACTTCTTTAGGTAACTATTGAGCACCACTACAGGACTTGAATGTAGCCTGTAGAGATTTCTGTCCAAGAAAACGATCATCGAGCTTGTTCTGTAGAATGGGTCTTGTTATTGGCTAGGTACCTAGGTACATGTTAGCCAGCGGCGCAGCCATAGACTTGTGGCTTACAAGACCCATATATTGTTCAGCCTCATTGCATACATAATCGACATGACTTCCCGCCTTGCCTGAAATCTGTAGATGTGTTTTAATTGCCAGATTACAAGATTAACAGCGAACGTCTCTCATCCATGGCTCGAGAGCGCTGCTACTCAACCTCGAGAGGATCAAGAGGTATCAATTCGCTGACCTATCGGCTATGCAGTCTTGCAGAAAGAGACGGAACTGAGTTTCAGCTTGTGCGGAGGTCTGGTCATGAACATGTGAATCTTTCAGAGACAGGACGAATCGCGGAATACCAAGGTCGCCGACATGTCCGTCGTTACATGACGTGCCGTCTCGCAAAGCTAACGCGTTCATGCCATTCTACCGAGGCTCAGGAGATAGTTTCGCCCCACGCGATGCACTATGGAGGACGAACGTCCCGTCCATTGGCAAGATGGTTCTCCATCAAGGGACTGCTGTCATGTCAACTTCATCTTCACATGCGATCGAGTCTCCGAGGTCTTCACCAGCTCGACCACCGAATAAGGCGCCCGGCTAAAGTTTAATCTCGACGAAGCTGTCGTCGGACTCATAATCACGCCTCGTACGCTGCGTTGAAGCTCAAGGCGAACCTTTGGACGTCTGCGTATACAGCCTCTCAGCAACCCGACTGCTTGCGAAGATGATCACCGAGTCTATAAGACGTGTTAATGGCTACGAGAAGGATGCCTACACATATTACCCCGTCATCATTGTCGGTGCAGGCGCATCTGGCATTGCTATGGCCTGCCAGCTGAAGCAGCAACTTGGATTTGATCAGTTTCGCGTATTCGATCGGCAAGCAGGCATTGGAGGAACCTGGTGGATCAATCGGTACCCCGGTGTCGCTTGGTAAGTCCGCGATCTCCCCGAAAACATGCAGGTGGTCACAACCAGGGTCTCTGTATTCAGCCGCCACCGTGCCACAAACACGAGACTAACAGCCACACAGCGATATACCCGCCGTCTTCTACTCCTTCAGCTTCGCCCAAAACCCCAGTTGGTCCTCGTTCCACCCGCCTGGCAAAGAAATCGTACGCTACTACCACGAAGTATGCGAGAAATACCGCATCACGGACAAATTCGAGCTCAACACGGATATTGAAAGTTGCAAATGGCTAGAAAACGAGCAGCTATGGCAGGTTACTCTCCGTCGCATGATCTCAGGCATGGGCGACCTGTCAGCAAAGGATCGCATGAAGATCGCGCAAGAAAAAGGCGAGCATGCGGTATACTCGGAGACGGAGGTTGTTAAAGCCAAGGTTGTGCTTAGCTGTGTGGGAGGACTGGTCGAACCCAGGGGCTGGCCTGACGAGATCAAGGGTATCGAGAACTTCAAGGGCAAGATGTTCCATTCGGCGAGGTGGGATGAGAGCGTCGACTTCACAGACAAGAAAGTCGTCGTTGTCGGCACCGGATGTAGCAGCGCGCAACTCGTTCCTCCTCTACCCCACGCGCCTTACAACGCTACAAAGGTCACTCAGTTGATGAGATCACCACCGTGGGTCACTCCAGCTGTCCACGCGCCCGGGGGTGACGAGTGGTGGGAGAAGAACGGCCCTAAGCTGATGAAGAACGTACCGGGCCTCAAAGAGCTTTTGCGCTTCATCATCTTCGCCACGGCAGAATCAGGCTTCCTCAAGATCTTCCCCAACACACCATACGCTAACAAACAGCGGAAACTCTACGAAGAGAAGGTCCTCCAGAACATGCGCAAACGCACTCCAGAAAAGTACTGGGAGATCCTGACACCGGACTACGGCGTGGGATGCAAACGACGTATCTTCGACAAGCGATGGCTCCGCAGCCTGAACGACCCAAAGATCGAGCTGACTACACAGCCTATGAACAGAGTCACAGAGCATGGTGTTGTCATCGGTCCGGGGGCAACGTATCCAAAGGACGCGAAGGAAGAAGACTACCCCGAGCGAGAAATCCCCGCCGATGTCATTGTCCTAGCCAACGGCTTCGACACAACGCGCTGGCTCCACCCCCTCAAAGTCATCGGCAAAGGTGGAAAAGACCTAGTCCAAGTAATGGAAGAACGAGGAGGTGCTCAAGCCTACCAAGGCACAGCCGTTGACGGCTTCCCCAACTTCATGATGATCTTCGGCCCCAATACAGCGACTGGACATTCCAGTGTCGTCATGGCAAGTGAGAGTACGTCTAAGCCCTCTCTAACTACCACTCACCATGCATTTGTAACAAAGAACCTTGCTAACACAACCCCCAGACATGGTAAACTACTCCCTAAACTTCATCCGCCTCCTCCTCCACAACGAAGCCCGCACAATCGACGTCAAGCACTCCGCCGAAGTCGCCTACACAGCCGAAATGCAACACGCCCTCAAAAACACCGTCTGGCAGAGCGGCTGCTCAAGCTGGTATTTCACCGGCGACGGCTGGAACTCGACCGTGTATCCCTATACCCAGATTGAATTTTGGCGGAGGTGTACGTTTGTCAAGTGGAATGACTGGAATATAGAGTATACGCGCAAGGGAATTGCGAGGATGAGGGCGAGGAGGCTGGTTAGGGCGTTGGCGGTTGTGTTGGCTGTTGGGGGTGCGTGGAGGTTTTGGCGGAGTGGATTGGGGGTTAGGGATATTGGGGCGCTGGTGAGAGGGGTTTTGGAGGGGGCTGTTAGGAATGTGAGGGAGGTGGGGGACATGGTCAGGAAGGCTGCCTTGGCTTGATGTGTTGGTATGGGTAGAACAGGGCTAAATCGTCTGGCATAATTGATAATATGAAGAAATTGGTCGAGAACTCCGGTGCGTCGGTTCACAAGATTGTCGAAAAGTCTTAACGTGATCGACAGTATTCCATTAATAGAGTTACGCCTTCCCATATTCTTCACTCCCAACAAAATTCTGTCTTTTGCGACAGCCAGAAAGAAAGACAAGACCATGCATCCAGCCTCAATACCCGTCGTTTTCATTGTCCTGTCTACAAACCTCTTCAAGTTCCATGGCACGCGCAACTCGACCACTGAAAGCCTCAATAAACAAGAGCTTTTCTTCAGCGCAGGGCCAGTTATAATGGTACACAACCCCAGCCCACACCCAGAACCCTGTTGGGCAGACGATGTGGATCTCCTCCACACTACCAAACTCCATGATTTCAGGTGAATCATCCGGGTCGTCTCGCTCAAACTTGAGGCGCTTGACGGCTGATGCGATGAAACTGTAATCGCTGAACGCAGAAGTGCCGATGTCCAGCATATCGATATCGAGATCCAGCCAGACATAGCGCTGCTCAGTCTTGAGGCAGCCTGCCTTCTCGAGCTCTTCTCGCTGCTCATCCGGCGTGAAGAATTTCTCGATGAGGACTTCAGGCGCGTGGTTGTTTTCGAATTTCCTTACCACGTCAACTTCAAAGTGAACACGCTTGTACAATCCAAGGTTTCGCGCTTCCCGGCAGGAATGTAGTATGGCTGGTATGGGCGTAGACGAGACCAGTTGGCCACACCTACCTAGGTAGGGTTGAGACCACTCATCTCGAACACGCCGCACGTCGACGATACGTGGCTCGACGGTATCCTTCCAGATCTGCTCTCGGAGCTCGAGAGGAAGCCGTGGAAAGGGATGGAAAGTGGTCATGGTGTGGGATGGAGATGTACAGGACTTGAGCGCAGCCCGCGCGAAGTTCCTACTACTCAGGATTAGGCAACCGTGGCATCACGGGACTGGCACTTGAAGTTCAGCCGCCTTCGCGACCACGAAGTATACATTGATTGATTACATCTCGAAGAACTTGAAAGATATCTTGTGTAGGATAGTAACTGAGTGTACTAGCGCTACCGCTAATAGATCCGTGGATGATTTGGAAAGAGACAACAATTTTGCCCGTCTGCTGTTAGTAGGTAAGCTAGACTACTGGTACGTAAATATCCATCGATCCAGGAATACCAGCAAAACTCCTTTCACACAATCGCTACTGTATGCCGCATCATCCCGACCCCACAAACGTCATTTAGATATCCCATATCCGGACCTTCCTCCGGATCGAACAATCCTGGGGTCTAGCTCCAAGCCCTCGCGAATAGACTCCATCCGACGCGCCATTTTAGTCTACCCCATCCGATTTCCAGGACTAGTCAGCGGTACATTCTGGACCGGACTAGGCTCCGCTGGTCTTTTCGATGTGGTGGTGTGCCATTGTGCATTGAACATGCATATCAAACGGTATGTGTGTGCCGAGCTAGTTAGAGTATAAGCATCGTGATTCACAGTCACCTGCATGGCCAGAAAAGCTTGAGATAAGAGATCATGTGTGTAGTTCAATTCATAACGTCATGCAGGATAACATGTTCCGGGAGCCAACGTCTTTCCTGATCGTCGACAACCATGTTTTCCCAATCCAATCCAATCCAGTTCCCTTGGTCATTATCTGATAGAAAGATATACGCAGAAGTAGAGGGCAAGGAAATGGATATCTTCGCAGAGAACAATGCCACAGATCCAATGAAATCCCGTGATAAAACTTTTCCGTGAAGTGAAAGAAAATCGTGACATCATACTCGATGATCGAGATTGTCGTTTTATGCCTCAGCAGTAAGATCGTTACCAGTGTTCAGCCAGTCTACATCTCCTAGTCCACCTGAGATGCCCATGTTGGCGTCAAGAGCTGAGTCGTCGAAGTTGAATGCCTCGCCAACTGCATCCAAGTTGAGCAGCTGATCGAAATCGCCGTCATCAAACTCATTATTCAGTGGCAGGCTGGAGAACAGCATCTCGTCGTCCTGGTGGTGGTTGATGTTGTTGGTAAATGGATTCGCAGGAAGGTCCATCGTACTCCACTTGTTGAAAGCCATCGAGTTCAGATTGTCGTGTGTGTGCGAGTCTGACGCAGAAGCCGTGATACCGTCCATGTGTGATTCGTCGGCAATAGTGATACTAGGCATGTGCTCGTGATCGGACTCTGGTGGCGTAGATGCGAGGAACGTTTCGAGACGCCGAGCGACTTCCTCATCGGTGACATTAGGCTGGTCGTGCTGCTTCTCGAGAGCGTGCATGTTGGTGGTACCGTTGTCTGGCGGCGGTGTCAATGTTGAAGGACGTAGGTTCTGTGTTCCTGTAGTCGCGTTGTTGATCATCTCCATTCGCCTTCCAGCATCTACAAGATCTTCGACTGTAGTGACGGGCGAAGGCTTGGGCATTGGCGCAGCTGGAGCGGCTCCTACAGGAGCAACATGAATACCTGCCTTGCGGATAGCGGCCTCCAAAAAGGCTACTGAGTAGTCGGCGGCAGCGTAGAGATCCCGCAGTTTACCCATAACAGCCATGCACTGGCAGAAACCACGTAGAGAAGTTCGACGAGTCTCCTCCTCTGGAGCTTTGATGTCAAGTAGGTGGATGATGATTGCTGGTAGCAGAACCGTAACACCTGTGGTCGGTAGGTATTTGACGAGACCACCCACGTCTAGACGCTGAGCTATCGATGTGATTGCTGAAGCAGCCCGGCGTACATTACGGCGCGAGACATCGAGCAATTCAGACTCAACATTCTCCTTTGTCGGAGCGCTGGCTGGGCCGCCTTGTGAATTTGGTAGAACCTGCGGTCGATGCAACGCTGACAACGTGGTGAAGAAGACCATGTGCAGTAGTGACCTTGCAAGATCGATGGCTGCTTCGCCGCTTGGTGTGTCCGTGTACTTGGCTTCTTCTGGAAGCTCTGATACCCATTTTTGGAGCTCTTCATCGCAGGCCTTGACCTCACTAGTTTCGGGATCTAGTTTCTTCGGCAGCAGCATCATGGTTGTACGGTCATTTTGTAGGCCGTGGTTGTTGTTCAATACGCAGTATTGCTTAGAAAGCACATGGGATATGCACAGACACAGCCTAGCCTTCTCAATGCACATGATAGCTAGTTGTCGCTGCGCATCCACATCCCTCGCAATACGGCAGTCAGCTGGCAGGCAAGTGATCGAATCCGGAAGAGGTGCAATCTCAAAGTCATCCAACGTCAGCATGGGCACGTCGAAGTCCTCAGTCTTTATCCTTGTAGGGCGTCGCATGCCAAGTGCAATCAGCCGGTCGCGCATATAGGTTGACCACCATATCCGCTTCCACAACTTAACGCGCTTGCTGTCCAGGTTGGTGTTGTCCGGATTGCGATGTAATCCGATGGTGTGAGCAACCGATGTAGCGACGCCCATCCAGTGCCAGGTGTCTTTCTGGTCATCGGGAGTTTCGTAATAATACGTCAGCAACAACAGTGCTTGGACTAGTGAAACGCGATCGGACTCATAATCGAAGTCGTACAAGATCTGGTGGCAGAGTTAGCACGGTGTTCACATGTTATCGGCCCATCGTAGGTCCGTCGATTTTCACATGTCGGCATGTCCTCGGAAAATCGGTGTGTCCGAATCACCCCGATAGTGTTTGGGTCTAGTCGGCCGAAGCCCACCACTTGCCAAGGCATCCGAAAAGGGTCTCAACTTACTCTAGTTTTCTGGAAGAAGTCTTTGCGCGCGTCTTTCCGAGTAGCGTAGCCCGCTGTGCGCAAGTGTTCCATATCAACAAACGCCGATCCGGCGAACATGACGGCCTGGAACAGGATCAAGCTGACTTTTCCTTTGCTTCCGTCTCGTTTGTCAACCATCGACAAGAAATCATGCAGATCCAGAAGTGGCATATAGGGATGGACAAATTCGACGTATGCGCGAAGCATTTCACCGCGAAGATTTCCCTTTGGTACGGTCAAGGCACCTTTTTTCTCCAGATAGGCGATCTCGTCAGGTCCGATCTTCGCCGGGAGAGGTTTGATGAATCGCGGTAGCTCTCCAGGGGCGGGTTTCTGTGGTATGCTTCCAAAGAAGGGTGCTCGTGGTTCATTGGAAAACGGCGAAAATGGTAGTGTAGGCAAGCCATTGATTTGTGACGTGATGGAAAGTCGGCGCTGAATATCTGAGATACTGGCGACAGAGTTGATACGATGGCCATGACTTTGGTCTGTGTTGCGATTAGCCCAGTGCGACTGATGCCGTGATGCAGTAATCATACATATTGAGTGAGGCACATGCTCATCTCGCCTTGATTCCGCCTCATGTGATCCTCGCGACGAGCTTCGGTTCAAGGTTTGCGCACCGTCCAGCGCGTCACGCGATGCGATCTTGCGCGTCGCAGGTGCAGTTGTGCTTGCGTTTTCTGTGGCTTGGTCGTCATCTTTGCTCCATTTCCTGCAGCTGTCAGTAGTCGTACGAGGCGCACATTTGGTGTGGGTGCATCAACAGCCATTGGCTGGAATGCTTTCGGTGATTGTGATAGGTGCAGCGCAGCACAAGTGGCTAGGCCAGAAATACCGAGCTCGCAGCCGACGTTGGATGACGAAATCGATGGAACATGCCATATCGAAATTGTTGATCAAACGATAAAGCGTTTTGTTTGTGGAGACGTCGGATATTGCACGGGAATGTGTAACTAACTTTTTGCGCCTGCTCTCCGACACAATGCACTCGACTTCGTCCAGTCTGCAGTTTGTGCAAGGAGCGCCGTGCTCTGTGACATTGCATCGCACTTTTCGAGCTCGACAACATTGACACGCTTTCGAAGCCCTCCTCTTTACTGAACGTCCTGTTCCATGTCCATCGAGGCCGGCCGCGGTGGCTTTTCGTTTCGGTGCTTGGATTTCGTTGTGATGGTCGGACGGAGATGCAGAGTAATCAGACATGGCTGCAAGATGTGGATGTCTGGAGTCTGCGTTGAAGGCACGATGGGTTGCAAATAGCGTTGACAATTCCTACCACACGCGAGGGGCCTGGGGGGGTCCGAAGATTATAAAGACCACAATTCGCGAGAGTGGATTGCATGCCAGGGCTAGTCGTGTGCTAGGACACACAGACAAGCCGCGCTTCACATGGTGCGTTTTAACGCTCATGACGCCGCCTCCGTCCCCACTGGGGATCGTTAGTTAGTACCCCAGTCCCCCAGATGCGGCTGGTCGGCGCTTTATCCTTGGCGACTAAGACGCCGATGCCTTTCGGATGTCATCGGGACAAAGCCCGCTCCTGGATACAAACGCGTATCCGCAACGTCAGCTGCTTGACCAGTCCTTGTGCACGGGTAAGATGCCGCGGTTCTTGCATTCGCTCAAGCCGACGATGGCCTGTACGACTGGCAGCCTGTAAATGCCAAGAGCACGCTCCCTCCGACTACTACGGACGTATGGCACGCGAGTACCAGGTGTCTTTGACACCCAAGCTCGAGTCATGATTGTTGTGGGGTGCACGGCACTTTCGATTCACGTTGCGTCCCACAAACGCAAGGACAAGCCAGGCGTAGGATCATCGCTGTAGAGTGCGGAAATGAATATCCCAGGGACGGCGCGATTGGTGTCTATGAGCGGAATGCCATGACCAAGCCAGACAGCTCTGGATCCTATAGCCGAAGTGCTAGCCGTCTCGGGTGCACGTGAGGACACATAGGCGTCCAAGTATGTTTGCGGCTTTTTGCCAATCGTACGGACAGGTCCATTGCCCCGACGCACTGCCCCAGTACACCCCAATAAAATCTGCATCGTGAACCTTAGTGGGCACGGTGCTTGCCGTCTTTTTTTGATCTGCTGAGAGCTGGCTGACCGCTCTGACAACAAACACAGCGCTCGGTGCACGGGAAAACATTGCGATGGATGACGTGAAGGCAAACTCTGAGAGGCTGCGCATCATGCAGTCGGCGCTCGGAGCAAAGGCTCTTCCAGCTGCATGGTCAGTGGTTGCGGTAAAGGTGTCAAAAATGGCACGCGTAGCGAACGACTGGAGGTTGATCTCTGGGCGTGCCAAAATTGCGGGGAACACGCCCTTTCCCCTCTCGGTGAAGTCTCGGACGACGCCATGCCGTTGCATGAGGCAGAGAACGCAACCACCAATCTGCAGTGATGCACACGTTCCATCCTTCCAGATTGCTCCTAGATGCTCGGCATCCTCATGCACCTCCCGCTCAATTTTTTCTCTGCATCGCGATCGTGATCGAGCGTCCGCGGCCGCAGCCCGAGCCTACCCGTCGGTACCTGTGACTTTCCCGGTCACTCAAACATCTGGGGCATTACACCCATCATCCTTACTACTACATTGGAAAGAAGCGAAGACCAGGTCAAGCCTTGATGCGCACGTCTAACGACACCATTTTAGCGGTCCCACGCGACATGATCTGCAGGGAAAGTAACTGTCGCACGACATGGTTTGGTTCATGAGCGTTCTCCGATGGCTGAGGCTCAATGTCTCTGCATGTACCAACCGTGTCATCACTGGAGAGTCAGATCTCACTGCCCCCTCCAGCTCCTTTGTTCGATGCGGGGCTTACCGCCACATCAGCATCTTTGGGAAAGGCATGCGTTGCAGGCATGATTAATATTCACCATCCAATACTCGTGCGAGCTTTCGGCCGTTGGGACGGAATCAATTTCCGCTCAGGTCATCGGAAAAAGGCACTCAAATAAAGCCAGCGAGGCTATGTCATGTCGGGCGACTAAAGATGCAGGACTGTCACTGTACGGAACCACTAAGTTTTGAGCTCCACTTTGAGAATCTGGAGTGAAGATCCCAAGGTCGGTGCATCATCGGTGCGGTAACTAGCAAGTAACCTGGCTGGTTCACGCTTCAGCTAGAGGTAGCGTGGATGGTCTCATCTGACAAAAGAATACAAGCTGGAAACACAAGGTGGTCTGAATTTGGCAAGAAACCCACAAGATGTATCTCGGTTGTATGTGTCTTCCATCTCAGTATCACATGGCAGACATGACCAAATCTCATCCAATGCGATCCAATCACGACTCCTCTGACCCACCACCATAGATGAGCTCACATTTCTGCTCAGCATCAGCAAGTGCACAAACGAAAAACAACCAAGGCAATGGAACGGTTAAGTAGTCACTTACAAGGTCGCTCGTACAAGTACCATGTTCTCCTCTCACTGGGTAACATCGATCCAACGTTGCCTGTTTACATTCGCATTCCTGTCAGGCCGTCAGCAAAGAACAATTACACTTCATCGGCACAACATTGTACATACAGCCTTCAATTCCAGCGGGCAGATCGGTGGCGGTCCACATGAACAAATAGGTAGAGTAGGTGGGGCTGGCGCTGGCGCTGCTAGGGAGACGGCCGCTAAGAGCACGGAGACGATGATGGCGGACTTCATTCTGGAGAAGCAGGCAACGTCAATGTCAAAGTAGCTTCAATGAATAAGTGTATAGTTGAAATGGTTTATGGCACGATATATTTATATGTCAACCAGCTCTACTCGGGGCTTCACCATCTGACGTGATACCGTGTCAAGTCAAGAAAAGGCATATGAGACATTCAGCTCTCGCTGAGGAAAGCCCGAGTTACCGTTGCGAATAAGAGACCATATCTGGGTCTTGGACTGCGGCATAGAACTCAAATAGGAAAATGTGTTTAGCCAAGGGTATCGTGTAATGATCTTGGAACATCTGATGCTCGCAAATGAGATTGCATGACCGTCTAAGTCTAGATGCTGCTGATGTTTACCACATCTAGAGCTTCGATGATCCCTTCGGCCTCTCCATCGCTTTAGTCTTATTCTTGAAATTTTTGACGAGCTGTCTCACACCCAAGTCCAGCATGACGTCTTCCGCACCACCTGGTATCCTTATACCTGGAACCTCGCGGTATATCCCTAAGAACATGTTAGTTACTGCCTATAATTCCGATACTCGCAATACTCACTCTCAATCAACTCTCCCTGTCCACTCTTCGTGTATCCATTTCCGCCAAATAGCAATTGCGCCGTTTGAGCGCATTCGTTCAGCACGATGCCGCTTTGTGCTTTGACCATGGCGGTCAGGCCACCCAACTCGATGTCTGCTGACGCCTTTGGTAGGTGTACCATTTGGTATACGAATTGCTCAACCCATGCCCATTGTGATTCTAGCAGAGCACCAGCTTTCGCCAGGCGGTGGCGTACGACGGGTTGCTCGACGAGTGGTTTACCAAAGGCTTCGCGCTTGAGGACGTATTCCATTGCGGCGGAGAGGGCGACACGCGCTTGACGGGTTGCGCCGATGGCGATGCTGAGTCGTTCGTGGTTGAAGTTGGTCATGCTGTGAAGTTTGCCGTTAGCTGGAGTACTTCTTGAGACTGTTGTTATCTTACATGTACTTCATGCCCATGCCCTCTTCTCCGATGAGATTCTCCACTGGGACTTTGACATCGTCAAGTTCTATGAAGGTCGTTCCTGCACTGACTTGACCGCCGACCTTCAGTCTGCGCATGTTTACTCCTGGGTTTCCTAACAAAGGCACGACCAACATGGAGAGACCTGTAGGCCCAGGGCCGCCAGTCCTGACGGCCATTGAAGAGTAGCTCGACCAGATTCCGTTGGTGATCCACTTCTTGGTTCCGTTGACGATGTAGTGTTTGCCATCGGGTGTCTTTGTAGCGGTCGTTGTGATGTTTGCGACGTCTGATCCAGCTTCGGGTTCGGTAATGGCAATGCAAGTTCGCTTCTTGCCGGTAAGGAGTTCGGGGAGGTAGCGCTCTTGGAGCTGCCTGCTGCCGTATTTGATAATGGGCGGTACACCGAAGGACATTCCTGTGGTAAGAGACCCAGCCGGTCCTGCGAGGCCCGTTCGCGCCATCTGGTGCGGCTGTTAGTTGCGCTCATATCGGATGTTGGGACTTCCTACCTCATCGGCGTAGATCATGGTATGAATGTAATCCCATTCCTCGACCTTGACGACACCGAGGATATCGTGGATTCCTAGCTTCTTCAGCCATTCCACTGGCAACGGAGCTGGTAGTGTCGGCAGCAGCATGCCTGCTTTCGCGAACGTCTCAAAGACATGCTCGGGCACAGTCTCTTCCGTGTCCCATGCCAGAGAATTCTCCAGGAGATGCTCATCCACAAACTTGCGACACGCTTTCTGCCATCTCAGATGCGTCTCCTTGTAGTATGGGGATGGTAGGCCGACGATGTAGGGCGGTTCGGAGAACGGGACGAAAGCGGTGGAAGACATGGCGATGTTGTCGAGGCGAGCCGAAGGTAGAGTGGAAGATGCGAGCGACGGGGCTCTGCTGCGTGTAGGCTACATGATGGTGTTGCGCTCGGTATATGGAGAGGAGAAGTGGAGTCCGGGGTAGCTTCAGGCCAGCCGAGGTTCGCCAGAATTACACGCTTCTGACATGTCATGAACCGACGACTACCAGGTCGAGGCGCAAGCCACGCTCCTTGGCCTGAGAAATCTAGGCAGTTGCAATCCACTAAAGGGACAAAACGAAAGATTATTTCGGTCTGCGCTTACATACGAACTTCGGTTCCGAGGGCTTGGATATTGGTGTTGCGCGCTGCTAGGTAGGTAGTCCGAATCAGGCAAGTTTCTAAAAGCCGTCGATTGCAGGCGTCTGCAGAGTTACCACAGGTCATCTGGATTCTGCACAACGATTGACACTGTGCAGGATGTAGGTAGGCATGAATGCCTCCAGGATAAAGATTTCGAATGCTGCGATCTCCATCACACAAGCACGGAAACTGTATCATGTCAAGCTGGCACGCATCGCGTACAACATAGAACTCGTTCCCAGTTTATGCCATTTCTCACTCCAGTTTATGCAGTGTCGACTCAACAACCAGATCCCGGATTGGAGTATCAGTCGAATAAAGTCTCGAGTATGCTGACTGGCAATCGCTACAACCACTTCGTACAGCATGAGCATC